CTGTTACTTTACAACAAACACCTGTTACTTTACAACAAACATCTGTTACTTTACAACAATCAGCTACTTTACGATAAACATCTGTTACTTTACAACAAACACCTGTTACTTTACAACAAACATCTGTTACTTTACAACAATCAGCTACTTTACGATAAACATCTGCTACTTTAATATAAACATCTGTTTCTTTACAACATCTGAACTGTTTAAACAGATTATTTTATTTTTAAACATCATCATGTTTGAATGAAATTAAAGATGGAGGAAACATCACCTGCAAATGTGACTTCCACGGCCTCTGGTTTGGTCCTGGACAAGAAAAACAGAATCTGTTAAGACTTTATTTGTAATAAACTATTTCACTAAACCCAAAATGACACCCTATAGAGCAGGTGAAAGGTGTTCAACTAAAGTCCAGTTGTTTTTGTATTGAACGCTTTTTGAGTGTTCAACTAATGAACAATGTGTTTTATTTTGTAGTAAAAACCATAAAGAAGGCTCAGCTTTTTATTTAAGACTTCTATAATATTATTCAGATTGGTGGTGTCCAGGAAGGACTTCTTGTGATTAATTAAAGAGTTGTTTTTATTGATTTATTAAAGAGTTGTTTTTATTGATTAATTAAAGAGTTGTTTTTATTGATTAATTAAAGAGTTGTTTTTATTAATTAAAAGTTGTTTTTATTAATTAAAGAGTTGTTTTTATTAATTAAAAGTTGTTTTTATCCACTTTGAGGCTGATCGTCGTTATTTTACAGCAAATTAATAAATGAAGGGAGTGATTAGGAGACCTGTTGGAGGGAGGTGTGGGGGTGTTGGACAAATGTTCAGTGTAGAAGCTCTGAAGGTGCAGCAGGCAGACCTTCCTGGTTTCAGCTGCAGGGACTTGTTGGACCTGAGCACAAACCTGACTCTGCTCGACTTCAGGAATGCGGAAGTTGAGCAGAAAACTCCCTAAATGTTCATCAGCTGTTAGTCAAAACCTGGGTCATGTCGGAGCAGGAACTCCTCCAGATGAGCCCTAAATTATTATTTGTGGCATCCTAATCATGTATTTCCACGCCAGCGGCTGCAAATTTACCAAAAACGTTAATTTTAGCCAGAAATAAGGACACCACCGGGGGGTCGTGCTGAACGGGGTTACGGTTTTTGACAGAACACCGCCCGTGCAGACAGACACACCCCAGCAGCTTTGGGCTCAGCGGTCCCGGGAGCCGAACGGCCGGGTCGTGGAGGAAAGCCTCCCCGGTTCGGGTGTACGGGGAGCCGCGGCGGTGTGACGGTCCATTAGAAGCAGCCGACATCTTCCGGACAGGCTAAAGCTAGCGGCGTTAGCAGCTCTCACCCGTTGGACGCGCCGTCGAACTTCAGCGTCAGCGTCTCCTCTATGATGCGGTTGTTGATTTCTAACAGGATCATGGCGGCGGGCGCCGGTTCCGAGGCAGCTTGGGCAAAGAGCGGTTCTGTTCGGTGGGATTAGCCTCTTCGGGTCGATTAGATTTTTTGCCTCCCCTGACAGACCAGACGGTTTCCGTTGAAGCTCCTTCCGACCGTAGCTTCCGCGTAGTTCACTCTCAGGACCCCAAAATGATTTGGGTGGCCAAAATAATGCCTGTTGTAAAAACGTTTCTTGAGGATCTTGCGATGAGAGTTCCGAGTCGCTTTTAAGATTCGGATCAAATGGAAACGTTCTCCATAAAGAGCTGGATCTTTTGGCTCGGTTCACAAACGATTCTTCACTCAGTTCTAATAAAAAAATTCTAACGTCAGAGAGATTTATTTGTCATGCACACCCCATGTGGTACATGTGGTGGAACGAGATTATGTACGCAGGGTCCCAGTTACATCCCACAATAAAATGTAAGTTGTGGATCCTCACTGTGGTCTGTTTGTTAAGAAGTCTAGGACCCAGTTGCAAATGGAGGGGCTTAGTCCTAGTGTGAGTAGTTTGTCCATCAGGGTTTGGGGGATCATGGTGTTGAAGGCAGACGTGAAGTCCACAAAGATCATACGGACGTATGAGTCCTTCTGCTCCAGGTGGTTGAGAGCAGTGTGGACCACAGAGGAGATGGTGTCCTCTATTGATCAGTTCTCGTGGTATGTGTACTGGTGAGGGTCCTCGTTGATATTGGTTGTTTTGATGTTAGTCATGACCAGTTTTTGAAGCATTTAGCGACTATCAGGGTGAGGGCCACTGGCCGATAGTCATTCAGACCAGTTAACGTAAAGCTTTTTGGGACTGGGATGATGGTGGTGGTCTTCAGACAGGTGGGAACTGTCTCCAGGGTAAGTGAGGTGTTAACGATGTCTGCCAGCACCTCACAGAGCTCCATTATCACGCCCAGATTAGTGACTCTTTGTTTTTCTGACAGGGTTAGAGCGGAGAGGTCGATGCAGTGGTTTGTGATCGTGTCTTTGAGAGGGAACAACATGACTTCAGACTTCTTTTCATTGAAACTTAAGAAGTTTTAAGCCATCCAGTCCCTGATGTCAGCCAGGCAGTCGAGCAGAGGTTGAATAGAGCATGTACCATTGTGTCTTAGGGGGAAGTAAATTTGACAGTCATCGGCATAGAAGTGGAAGGGCATGTCGTGTTTCCGGAAAATAGCACCAAGCGGCAGCAGGTATAAAGAGAATAGGAGGGGACCCAGGATGGACCCCTGCGGAACCCCCCATTTAAGCTCTGCCTCTGCGGGTTCCTTTATAATCTGCTATACACTTAATGCCCCCCCCCCCCCCCCACACACACACACACACATGCTCCGTGGGTCTTGTGAGGTGAATTGACCCTGGATCCTCTGTACATATGTGGCCTTGGCCTTCTTAATACCAGCAACCAGCTCTTTCCTTGTCCTTCTCAGCTCCTGTGAGTTTCCAGACCTGAAGACAGTGTTCCTGGCTTCCAGCAGGGTGTGCACCTCTGCATTCAGCCAAGGTTTTCTGTTTGGGTAACTCAACATAATGGTGGAGACGGTGTCAGTACATGTACTAATGCACCCCAGAACTGAAGATGTGTATTGGTCAGTTAGCTACATTAGCTTTAAAGCTAAACTTGGTAAGATCAATAATTAAATAAGTATATTATTTGACTACTGGCTTTTACTTAAATAATGCTGATTTCATGACCAGTTCCAGAGGTATTGATTGATTTGGCTAGTTAATCAGGATAACCTTCTTTAGTGATCACTTGTCATCATTTGAAAGTCATATTTTGAAATTAGGATTTCCCTTCTAGAAGTTGAAATAATACCACTAGCCCGTTGGAAACGTAGTAAAGATTCAGAGCTTTTCTGAAAAGTGCTTCAAGCAAACTTCAGGATTATATTTTGGACATTTCATTGAAGACACATACATAAGCATCAGACATTGATCAAATTGTTGAAAAATTTCTGCCAACGCACAATAATATCTCAATTTACCACCGTGTGCCTTAACCCTCGCTTCGGCCTGATGGGTCCCATAAGGAAAGTACAAGGTTACGTACAAGGTACTGGTTGAAGTAAGCACACCACAGTTTACATATTTGCACTTGGTGTTTGATGTAAAAATATTAAATATAAAACGGAAATCCTGCTGCCTGACTAGTAGCATGACATCGTTAGCGAGAAACTTTAGCTAACGTCGACAGGCTGCGAAACGAGTCCGGTATTATTTTGTTCACCCTCTCTGTCTGAAACGCTTCAAAACGACCCGTAGTTTGTTGAGATTTGGTGGTTTATCATCTTGCACCGAGCGGTTAAACGTCTTGAACCTGATACCGGCGCCTCGCAGCCGTTTGATCATTTATTTTTCCAGATGTTTTCTGCAGGAAGTGAGCCAGCTGTGTAACCACAGCAGCATTCCTGGCACGGCCTCACCTGTCTGAGAGTGTCCTCTTACTTCTCATCAGTTCAGGGTCTTTGTCCAACGATCTACGTTCTTTCACACTGCCGTGGACGCTTCGCTCTGCCAAAATAAAAACATTTAGTTTATTTAATGAAAACCTCGTGTCAGTTGTTTTCTCCTCGTTGGCATGTTCAGCCTGCAGGTAAGTACCACAGGTGACCTTTACAACTTAAACACATCTATCTATCTATCTATCTATCTATCTATCTATCTGTCTGTCTGTCTGTCTGTCTGTCTGTCTGTCTGTCTGTCTGTCTGTCCGTCCGTCCGTCCGTCCGTCCGTCCGTCCGTCCGTCCGTCCGTC